TTCTTTCATAAGATTCCATTCAATCTGCCCAAAGGTTGCCCATAAGTCTCAGCGTCTGCTTTGATAGTCTTCAGGGCAGAGCCTTTCAGAGGCCCTCTGTGGCAGGTTCCTAGCTTGTTTCCTGTTTTCTTCTTCTTCTGATGTCCATCCTCTTTGCCTTTCCGGATGGGGATTGAGCATTTTAACCAGAGTTCTCCCTCTTGATTAGTTTCTTTATATGTACAGATTTTAGTAGGTTTATCCTATATTATATGTCTATATGAGTGAGTATATACCGTGTGAGTCTTTCTGTTTCTGGGACAGCTCACTCAGAAAATGCTCAACGTCATTAGCCATTAGGGAAATGCAAATCAAAATGACCCTGAGATTTCACCTGACACCCATCAGAAAGGCCAAGATGAAAAACTCAAGTGACAACACATGCTGGAGAGGTTGTGAAGAAAGGGAAACCCTCCTCCACTGCTGGTGGGAATGTAAACTTGTACAACCATTTTGGAAAGCAATCTGGCACTTTCTCAGACAACTAGGAATAGCACTTCCTCAAGATCCAGCCATACCACTCCTAGGCATATATCCAAAACAGGCTCAAGTACACAATAAGGATATTTGCTCAACCATGTTTGTAGCAGCCTTATTTGTAATAGCCAGAATCTGGAAACAGCCCAGATGCCCCTCAACTGAAGAATGGATGCAGAAATTGTGGTACATTTACACAATGGAATATTACTTAGCAATGAAAAAGGAAATCATGAAATTTGCAGGTAAATGGTGGGACCTGGAAAGGATCATCCTGAGTGAGCTGTCACAGAAGCAGAAAGACACATACAGTATATACTCACTCATATAGACATGTAATATAGAATAAACCTACTAAAATCTGTACATCTAAAGAAACTAATCAAGAGAGAGGACCCTGACTAAAATGCTCAATCCCCATCCTGAAAGAGGAAGGACATCAGAAGAAGAAGAAAATAGGAAATAAGCTAGGAACCTGCCACAGAGGGTCTCTGAAAGACTCTGCCCTGCAGACTATCAAAGCAGATGCTGAGACTTACACCAACTGTTGGGCAGAGTATATGGAATCTTATGTAAGAAGTGGAAAATAGTAAGATCTGGAGTGGACAGGAATTCCACAAGGAGAGCAACAGAACCAGAAAATTTGAATACAGGGGTCTTCCCAGAGACTCATACTCCAACCAAGTAGCATGCATGGAGATAACCTAGAACCCCTGCACAGATGTAGCCCATGGCAGTTTAGTGTCCAAGTGGGTTCCATAGTAATAGGAAGAGGTACTGCCTCTGACATAATCTGATTGGCCTGTTCTTTGATCACCTCCCCCTGAGGAGGGAGCAGCCTTACCAGGCCACAGAAGATGACAATGCAGCCACTCCTGATGAGATCTGATAGACTAAGATCAGAAAGAAGGAGAGGAGGACCTCCCTTATCAGTGGACTTGGGGAGGGGCATGTGTGAAGAAAGGGGAGGGAGGGTGGGATTGGGAGGGGAGGAGGGAGGGGCTTATGGGGGGATACAAAGTGAATAAAATGTAATTAATAAAAAATAAAATAAAATAAATAGAAAGGAAGGAGGACCTCCCCTATCAGTGGACTAGGAGAGGGGCATAGGGGGAGAAGAGGGAGGGAGGGTGTGATTGGGAGGAGAGAAGGAGGGGGCCACAGCAGGGATACAAATTGAATAAATTGTAATAAATAATAATAATTTAAAAAGAAATATGTAAAAATAAAAATAAAGTTCTCAAGAAATCTAAAAAAAGAGTACAAAGCTGCTTCCAGTCCTTGTTTCAAAATACAACTTTTTTCTTTTTCTTTTCTTTCTTTTTCCTTTTCCTTTCCTTTTCTTTTCTTTGTTTGTTTGTTTCTTTCTTTATTTCATTCTTTCTCTCTCTCTCTTCTTCCTCCTTCCCTTTCTCCCTCCCTCCCTCCCTCCCCCCTCCCTCCCTCCTTCCTTCCTTCCTTCCTTCCTTCCTTCCTTCCTTCCTTCCTTCCTTCCTTCCTTCCTTCCTTCCTTTTGCTTGTGTTTGCACCTGGATCCACTCTACTGTCTGTTGCTCACAATGGCAGATGAAAGACCCTGAAAGGCCTGAGCGTCCCTCTCTTTCAGCTTGCTATGACTCCTTGCCACAAATAGTGCTTTGCTCTTGTCTTCTCAAACTTGCGTCGAACTTTATAAGGTCTGTTTTCAGACTTTAAAACCTGATCCTGGGGAGTTGTTGATTGGGGAAATATTTATTGTGCTCTTATACAGTATGAGCACCACACACAGAGCAGTGAACACAACAAACAGCAACAGATATAAAGTCCTGCTTTTATAGACCAGGGGTACAGAAATACAGGAAAATAAAAATATGGTTTCTGAAATGCTCATTAGGTGTTAAGTGAAAAATAAGGCAGAAAGGGTGATTTGGAGGGAGGGAAAAAAGGAGGAAGGGATGGAAGAGGAAGAGAGAAGAAAGAGAAGAGAGAGAGGAAAGAGATGGGGAAAGAGGGAGAGAGGGGAGAGAGAAGAGAGAAGGGAGAGGGGGAGAGAAGGGAGAGAGAGAAGAGGGAGAGAGAGGAGAGAAATAAGAGAATAGAGATAGGACAGAGGAGGGGGAGAGAAAGAGAATATCTGTGTGACTTTGTGGCCATTGCTCACAGAAAGCTTTAGGCTCACCAGGGAGTCTTGCATCTCTGTGGTGACACATGAGATTCAGAAGTCCGTGGAGCTTGGTTCTGTTGGCATGAAGGAGGGTAATGGTGTGGATTGTGAAGTTAGGGAACTGGTAGCTGTGCCCCAGCCAGGAGCACACACACACTTCCCTTCATTCCTGTCAAAGGTGGCATGAAAGAGAGCTCGGGAATATTGATATTCCAGAATCATAAAGAACCCATGGGCTTTCCTCTTCATCCCCCTTTATATCTTCTGATAGCATAGCGAGTGGAGACTGTAAATAAGATTCCAGGTTGACTAACATGAAAAGGACAAAGGAAGAATGGGGGGGGGGGGAGTGAGAAGAGGAGGTAAAAGAGGTGAAACCATTCTGAAAGAGATTATTTTTTGCTAGAGGTTAATACATCAAATATTTTGTATTATTGTCTGTTTTTTTTCTAGTAAGAATGTGTTCAATTCTACATAGTACAATAATTTCCCATAATATATATTCTAATGTTCCATTTTCATGGCACTATAACTTTATAAGATAACTCTCTAACGGTTACATAAAATTTACCATATTAATAAGTTATAACTCAAGTGTGTGAGAGATGTACTCGGACACATGCCCCTTCACATTTGAGGAGATCAGAGGACAAATCAATTCTTGAAAGAGAGACACTTGTGCCCTTCCCTTTGGCTACTATATAAAAACAATGAACTCCAACTTCCCCAAGATTCTCTTGCTGTGGAAAGGGAAAGGTTGAAACCCTAGTGTCAGCCAGAGGAGGAGCCTTTCAGGGAGACAGTTCCCACAGTCTGGCCACTTGTCAGATCATCTTGCAGGACACATAAGAGCCTGGACCACGAGAGGCCAAAGGTAGGTGAGCCCATACCCTGGGGGCCTGGGTTTGTGGAACAATTACAAATCAGAGAACTCAAGTCAACTGGCCACAGCAGGACCCATGGTGAGAAACAGTGGCCACTGACAAGCCAGAGAACCCGGGAGGCAGGAGGCTGGGCTCAGGCATGAGGTAGACTGGTAGCCTCCATCAGTGGCTAGGAGGTCACCCCGTCTCTTTGAGCTGTGATAGCCTGCACTCTGTGCATGAAGTCAGTGCATGAAGTCAACCTTTAGAGCCACCTACCTGCCGTAGAGAGTGAGAACTCACTGCAGCTTCAGGCACTCCCCCAGCAGTGGTTGCTCAATAGAGTCAGGGCTGTCCAAATGGATATCAGCGCTTTTGGTCCCTCCCTACCCCCAATCTAGAACATAAACCACTCAAGTCCCACAGACGACAAAGCCAAGTGTGGCCAGCAGGGACCCCTTGCCATTCAGAGAAGGGAAGCACTGCAGACAAGAAATGGGTAGGACCAGCTCTCCCATGCACGCACCTTCGGGGCAGGCTCACCTGCAACCCCCACATTCAGGGCTGTGCTGGTCAGGTGAGGCACAGGGCCTGCTTCTCCCGTACTGCAGCAGATGAGGACCAGCTCTCCTGTTCTGAAGACCCCAGCCCTTCTACCAGCCATAGGTGACAAAGGGTGAGGGGGGCATCTCTCCGTAGCCCATGCCGCCGCATGGCAGACAGGTGGCATGGCCAGTTCTTTCACCACCTCAGGGCCTGTTTTTCCATGCCCCCTCTCACCAGTGTCAACTTTACTGTGCTGCCCAGGTGAGGCGCAAGGCCTGCTCTCTGGAGTGCTGCAGCTAATGAGGGGCACGACCAGCTCTCCTGCTCTCAGGGCCAGGTCTTCTGGCTCCCTCAGGTGGTGAAGAGTTGGGGGAGGATGGCATCTCTCCCTTATTCACACCACCATGTGGGGGACCAGGAGTAGGGCCAGCTCTCCCATCCTCATATCCTTGGGGCAACTTCTATGTATGTGTGGGTATTCTCTGGAGTACTGTCACTAGCTAGGGATAAGGTCAGCTCTCCTACTTTCAGGCCTTCAAGGCCAGCTCTCTCAGGATGCCTAGATGAGGGGTATTCACAGCCCTCAGACATAAGCTGCTGTGAGGCCAAGGTGTCATTACTGGTTGCTCTCATCGGCAGTTCTTCCCTATCCTCGAGTCTCCAGTCTGCCCACATTCTTCTGTCTCTCCTTTTCTTCCATTTCTCCACCACTTCCTTGCCCCTCTCAGTGGCACCCAGGATCTCTGAGCATGTGGGGTTGTCTCAGGAGCGCTATGTCCCACGCATGCATTATGGCACCCCGGAGAGGTCACCTCAGGCCCCACCTCCCCAGGCCCACATGGCACTGAAGACTGGTGTCATCTAAGGCTAGCTCCCTATCCAGGCCCCATGGTGCTGGTCCGGTAGTCATCTTGGGCTCGCCCTTTTCAGGGAGTGTTCAGCTACTGCTCATTCAGATGTGACAGGTCAGAACACGGAATGTGGACACAGCCTTGCTCCTCTCTGCCACCTGCTGGTGAATATGTGACACAGCAGCCACACCTGCAACACTTCCAGGGCAGGACTTTTTTTTTTTTTTCAGTTTTAAATATTTTAGGTTTTAATTTTTATTCCCCCTCTGGTATTCATCTATTAGTGATAATCATTTTCTTTTAAAACTTATTTGATTTTTTTCTCTTTCCTCAGCCTATCATCCTTCTCCACTCCTTTCTTTCTTTTTTTTTTTTTAAACTTACCCCTGCTTCTCTGCTATCTTTAATATGGCTCATGAATTCGGGAAAAGATTTGTTAGAAAGGAAGGGACATTAATTGGGAAGTAAGAAATTGTCAGGAGAAGTTAAAAACTGTGCTATATACATGTGTGCAATGGTCAAAGAACAAACTTAATAAAAAAAAAAAGCACTTGTCACACAGGCAGATGGGCATAAGAGCCTCTTCATTATTTCCTGGCTCTGGTTCTGTTCCTACACCTCCTGGTGTAGGTCTAACAGTCAGGATTCATCTTGGTATCATCAACTTTTCCAAACCGGAACATCTGAAAGGTCTCACTGCACCTGGGTTTCAGAGGGTCAGAAATGTAGAGACTTGAGTATGAGAAAAGAGAGAGATACATAGCCAAGTTATAGCAAAGAGGCTCATGGGCCCTTCCAGCATTTTTTCCCCCTGTGAGCCAGAGCCACACCAATTTATAAACTCCTTCATTTCAGCTGAACTGTGACAATTCAGTACAGATAATAATTTGATTTCTAGAAATAAAAGAACATTTTTCTCTAGACCAGTGTTTTTCAACCTGTGGGTCTCAAACCATTTGGGAGTCAAATGACCCTTCCACAGGGATTGAATATTAGATATCTTGAATGCCAAATATTTACATTATGATTCATAACTGTAAAATTACAAAAATGAAGTAACAACAAAAATAATTCTGTAGTTGGAGGTTACCACAACACGAAGAACTGTATGGGCCATGTCATTAGTAAGCCATGTCATTAGAGAACCACGCTCTAGTGTCTTGACTGCCCTGACCTGTGGATGTTAGTGATGGCTACCAGGAAAGATGTTTTCAAATCACTTAACAGTCTTTTACTGACTTCTCACCAGTACTCTTAGCAATGGCCGACAGCCAGCTAGAAAAGGAAACTTCTGACCTCTTTCCCCACTCTTCCTTCTGCCCTATGGCTACCCCTGTTTGTAAGGCACCAAATTCTTACAATGACACAACCCCTACAGTGGCTCCCTCTACCCCAAATAAAGGCCTGTACTGTTTGAGACCTCTGGTTCTCATGTCTGTTTTTCCTTCTGCTGGCCTTTCAGTTTTGGACAGAGCCTAGGGTTTAGGAAAGAAATAAAATGCAGCTTAAAGAAGAAGGAAGTCTGGGGAACTTAAGAACCTAGTCATGTGTGGACTTCTGGCCCTGGGGGAGTTGGCTTGCAAAGAATTTTTGGAAAGCCTGAGACAGTTTTAATGTTTTGCCCTTTTGAATTTTGGGTATTGGAATTGCTTTTGCGGGAGATGAAATCATGGAACCTAAGGCCATGATAAACATGTCTCTGTTCCTTTGTGCACTTTTCCACGCTTTTGCTGGTGGCCACTCTATTGCATATTACTCTCTGGCAAACTTTTCTTTGTCTTTAAATGAAGAAAAAAAAAAGGAAAAGAAAAAGAAAAAGGAAGCAAACAAACACAAAACCCAAAGCCTGATGCTGGTAGCATGTGTTCTGGCTAGGGCTGGAGAGTCCATTTCCACTCACATGGAAGCAGACACTGCATTCAAAACCAGGGACTTAGGGATGCTGCCATTTTGATCATCTTGTTCTTACTTTCAAAATGCACAGCTCTGTTAGATTAGTGTCCTACTCTTTTTTTTTTTAAATGGTATTGGTCTAACTGGAAGTTCACATGTAGAAAAATGCAAATAGACCCATATATATCACTCTGTACAAAATTAAAGTCCAGGTGGATGAAAGATCTCGACATAAAACCAGACACATTAAATCTGTTGGAAGAAAAGGTGGTGAAGAGCCTTGAAATCATTGGCACAGGAGACAACTTCCTGAACAGAACCAACAACTCAGGCTCTAAGATCTACAATTAATAAGTGGGACCTCATAAAACTGAAAAGCTCTGTAAAGCAAAGGACACTGTCATCAAAACAAAATGACAGAATGCAGACTGGAAAAAGGTCTTCACCAACCCTACATGTGACAGAAGGCTAATAACCAGAATATATAAAAAACTCAAAAAATTAGACACCAACAAACCAAATAATCCAATTAAAAATGGGGTACAGAGCTAAACAGAGAATTCTCAATTGAGGAATATCAAATGGCTGAGAAACACTTAAAGAAATGCTCAATATCCTTAGTCACCAGGGAAATGCAAATCAAAACAACTCTGAGATTTCATCTAACATTGATCAGAGTGGCTAAGATCAAAAACTCAAGTGACAATACATGCTGGAGAGGATGTGGTGAAAGGGGAACCCTCCTCCATTGCTGGTGGGAGTGCAAACTTTTACAACCACTTTGGAAATTAACCTGGCACTTTCTCAGAAAATTGGGAATAGCAGTACCTCAAGATCCAGCTATACCACTCCTGGGCATTGTGACCTCATTGAATTTCTGTATAAACCAAATGCCCTATTTCCAAATATAGCAACACTGAGGATTAGGGCTGCAACATGAGTTAGGGGCACACATAGTCTAATAGATAGCATTAGGTTTCAGAAACAAGAGGGATATGTTGCAGGCTGTTTTCCAAATGACACACATAACAGATCTGGATATAACCTTTTCTTTCTTATTAGTGTATATTCTTTTAACAAAATAATGGGTGCCATTATGACATTCTCCTAAATGTGTATTATATATTTTGATGTTATTCATCTCTTCTTATTACCATCTTCTGTCCAAACTCCTCTTTCCATCGGTCACCTTACTCTTTCCAAATACTTTCTACTTTCTGTTGCAGGATATTTGTGAACTGGAAAAACCTGTTTCCTGTTGTGATGTAGCTCAGCCCTAATACACACCTTTAACCCAAGAGCCTTTTGCTTATTGTAAACAAATGGCTGTGGTGTGGCACAGCCTGAGCACACACATCTAATCCAAGAGATTTCTGCAAACAGGATTAAATAGAATTAACTCTGGGGTAAAAGGTGCAACAAGCAACCAGTCATCAGGAAGTGAGCAAGGGGAAAACTGTAGATTGTTGAGAGGAAGTTCAGAGGCTGGATGGAGAGATGCATAGGAAGTAGCTAGGAGAAACATTGAGTTGAAGGGTTTTAAAGACAGCATGGAGAAGGAGAAGGGGCTTTTTTCTTCTGGGACCTGAGCTGAGTAGGAAGGTCAGCTGGGTGCTTTCTCTGCCTCTCTGAGCTAGCAGATTTTCACCCCAGCATCTGACTCCTGAGTCTGAGAGACCAAAGAATTAAAAACTAGGTTTTGGGAGTACCGAACTAAAAAGTTTAAAACCTATCAGGCCAGTTGACCTTGCTGCTTCTAGGCAGTTCCAGCCAACTGCAGGAAAGAGCTAAGCTTGCTGCTCATTAGAGGTACTGTTGCCAAGAAACCAGCCTGGATGGCCTCGCTCCTGGAGATAGCACAGACTGAGCTAATCAGGCACTCTCCCCTAGCAGCAGTCTATCAGCCCAAGACAGGACTGAAGCCCAAGGCCAGCCATTTTCCTTCGCCCCCTGGCAAAAAAGAACAAAGAAAGCCGGAACCATTCATGGTCCTGGTACTTTCCCATAGCCAACAGTTTTGAAATGTAGCATCCCCCTTTTCTGTATTAATCAATAGAAGGTTGCCAGGCTAGAATCCCCTGTTTTAGACGTGCTGGGAGGGATTGGGACCTATAAATCACTCACAATCCAGAGCTCGGGGCTCTCTGCTGGATACCAATACCTTGGTGTCTGTGAGAGTCCAGCTTGAGCTGCAGATAAAGATCCTCATGTGTTTTGCAAAGGACTCAACTACCTAGTGGTCTTTTGGAGTTCTCACAAATTGGGCATAACAAGTATTCATTGGTAAAATCAATGACTGGAATTTTGTTTATATAACAACTTTCAGTTATTTTAAAAGTCTATATTCTACATATGAAGAAAAATACACACATTTGTCTTTCTGAGTTTGGCTTATTTTGCCTAGCATGGTCATCTCCAGTTCCATTCATTTCCCTGAAAATGACATATTTATTTACTTATGGCTGAATAATATTGATTCATCTGTTGATGAACACATAAGCTGATTCTGTAAGGTGGCTGAAGAGTGACACAATAAGCATGGATGTGTGGCTGTCTCCGTTGTGTGCTGGCTTAGATTCCCTTGGGTACATATGAAGACAGGCATAGCTGGATCATGAGGTAGTTCTATTTTTTGTTTTCGGAGGAACCTTTGTACTGCTTTCCACAGTGGTTTTTCTCATTTATTTTTCCACCAACAAAAGAAAGGAAACTTTCCCTCCTGCATCCTCACCAGCATCCACTATTGTTTGATTTCACCTCAGCCTTTCTGACTGAGGTGAGATGAAATCCAATTTAGTTTTAATTTGCATTTTCCAGATGGCTAAGAATATTGAACACTTTCAAACACTTATTGTCCATTTGTTGTTTTTTTTTAATTTTTAAGGACTTTTAATTGATTACTTTGCTTATTTATTAATTAGATTTTGTCTGTTTGTTATCCCCTGTCAGATTAAGAAAGGATTTTCTTCCATCCTGTCTCTTCACTCCATTGTTACCTTTGCTGTGAAAAGCTTTTCAGCCTCATACAATCACAGTTGTTTTTTCTTGTTATTTCTTTCTAGGACACTGGGTTCTATTTAGATAGTCCATGCCTATGCTAATGAGTTTGCCTCTTGAAGTATTTTCTAGCAGCTTCCAACGTTCACATCTTCTGTCATCTTTGTTCTATTTTGAATTGACTTTTGTGAATTTTTCTAGGTAGATAGATAATGCATTTTTCCCAGCACCATTGTTTTCCCCACCCCTCACTTTTATTAAAAAATCAGTTTAAGTTTGTGAGCTTATTTCTGATTCTTCTATTCTTTATTTTTCTATGTT